GATTACTCTGGGTACAAAGCACAGTGGCCAAGATAATTTGACCTGCATGAAAGCTTGTTCTTTCTGCAAGACTGACATGGTTACATTGCTTCCAGAACAGTTTAGAGCACAGAGAGAGCAAATCAGCTATGTTTGCATCTATCCCTGAAAATACAACCAAAAATGCTAAAAGGTAATTTTTATTACCTCTACCAATAATAGCACTTATCATCCACCTAAATTAAGCATGCAAGCTGCCTCTGAAAGCACCTATCTCTTCCTACTAATGATATAACTTTCAAGCCTGGGTGCTTTGAGTTGCACCTACATTAAATACCCACAGAACAGTTAAGAAGCGAAGCGAAGCGAAATGAAGCGAAGCAAAGTGAAGTGAAAGTCCTCTTCAAAAGGAATTCATTTTCATATGGGTCTCCCTTCATTCTCCTCTGGTCCTGCAAAGCCAGAGTATGAGCACACACTTTCACAAGCAGCAGAGCAGCAGCACAGACGGTATCTCTGGGTGAAGAGCTCTCAATGCCTGAAAACCGAACCAAATACTGCTTTCAAAGTGAGAGAACAAGCTAGCTGGGTATTATGAAACACACTCACATGCTCACAGAAACTGGTAGACTGCCGAGGAGGCTGTGAAATATATGTTGCTGGAAGCTTTTACAAAAAAAATTAGCTCACATGTGCCCTAAGCTTCTGGTCAGGGTTTTTCCAATAGCTTCTTATGGACTTACTTGAGATCATCACACTGTGACGTAAAAAAAGCAGCCATCCAGTCATGACAGGCATTCACAGCAGATCATGTATCTTCATATGGGCACAAGGATTGGTTGCGTATGTTGTTTTCATGATTCAGATTTGTTGGTGACATAATTATTGGGAATATATTTATATTTATATTATTATTATATTTTTACAGTTGATTTTTTTTTTTTAAGTGAAGATGTATTGATTTTCATTCAAAAACAGGAGGAGTTTTATCTCAGCACTAAAAGTAATCTCTTCTGTATGCATTAATAAGGTCTAGGTGACCTGACAAAATTCAAGATTGGTAAGGTTATTGTGGTAAGAACAGTTCACAGATGGCAGAGTCAGCTATTTTTCCATACACTTTCATCTGCTTCACAGTTCAAAGCTGTTAGTCATCTCTTCCAGTGTTAATATTTCTTTTGTTTTTTGTTTCTCCTTAGGTACTTTCCATGACCATATCAGACTTCAGCATCTTGTCTGTTTTGTTGCATTGTTTCTTTCTCATTTCAGCACTCAGTTCAAACAGTATCAGTAACATCTCTTGATTTCTATATTTCAAATTTCTGTATGAGTGACTTTGCTTTTGTTTTGGAGGAAGACATGCATTCAATTTTGAAAATTATATTACCTAAGAAACTTACTTTCATAAAAGAACTCCACCAGGGCCTGTACAACAACTTTAAACAAATTACAACAGCAGAAACTCATGAGGTGTTTAAACCAGAGTCAAACAACCATTATAAAAACTGATTTTAAAAAGTGTAATAAGAATTTTTAGCACAGAAAAACTTTTAAGTATATAATGCATTAACCTGTGTCACAGAAGTGAAACAACAGTGACCTATAGAATAAGACGACCCTTAAAGAAATTAAGGGACTGAGTATTTCATATGCAGACCTAAATGTTTCTGGCAATCGGCAAAAAGTCCTATAAAAGACAAAAAACATCCTTAACGCGCTAATGATTTCAACAGTTATAGAGGGGCCACTCATTTCTTTACTCTAAAACTGGAATCCTTTCAGCTGAAAGGATACCGGGACTTTTATTTGCTGGTAATGCTGCCTTTTTTTTTAAGATCTGAAGAAAGTAAGTGATACTTGCATCTTTTTGCCATGCTAAAAGCAGAAAGAAATCACCTCTGGAAAGGAGTTCAGAAGACAATGTATTTATATGTATGTGCTACAGCAGTATTTACACAGAAGTGTACATACATGCTACAAGTGATTAAGTTTGTATACCTTGATGCTGCCTTGTGTTAAGCTTATATATCAGTAAAAAGTACAGAAAGAGGTATTTATGGTTTGTACATAAGCAAACTATTTGGCAAAGACATGCCTCTTGTCATTTTTGTCAAGAAACTTTTGAGATTTATACTTGAGATTTAGTGTTTGTTATTGTCACTGATGATTTTTTCCAATATAACAGCCGAGTGCTGATCAGATTCTGCAGTCTGTTCCACACAGCAGCTGAACATTTCTTACCATCAAGGCTCCTGCCCATGTCAGGGTCATGCACGTAACAGTCCTGCAGCCCCCAGAAAATGCTTCTGTCTGGGCTGATGTGCAGCACCACAAATTCATCATTACACTGTTCCTGTACATGATTTAACTTGCGCAAGAATCATCCCTAGATATGAACAAATCTGGTTTTTTGAGTTGAAAAGCAAGTTAAGTATTCAAAATCTTCCCTGGGAGACCAGCTCAAGGAGAAAATGCATAAAGGAGGGAAGGCATTGAAGAGAAAAACCAACCCTCCTACAGCCTCTTTTGGAAGAAATAAAAATAGATGTTTCTTACTCTATAGCCACAAATCTTTGGAGCCTTGACAGCTAAGCAGCACAGTAACTGGGAAACCCTGTACGTCCAGAAACCTGGCAGGTTTTTACCCTTTGCAGGTATTAGCCAGTACAGGAGCTCCAAGCCTCAGGCAGGCAGCTAAACAAACTGTCAGAAAGCAGACTAATGTTATTAAAAGTTCAGGGCCTACTGAAGTGTTGCATGGCATTCTAATTCACATGCTACATGCTGATTTTAAAATAACCCAGAGGTTTTACGTGGTATTGCTAATTTTATCTGGCATTGCTAGTGTTCCCTTAGACTTAAAAACACTTGTCTGTTTTCTCTGATAGGACTAGATTAATTATGTAATTTTTACACATGTCAAACAAATTTGACATAGTGCAACATTTTCCACAAATAGGGGTTTTAATTAAAAGAACACTGACAGAAATTAAATGAGAGAATTTGGTAACTGTTGGCATATTATACAAAATACCCTGCTTTAAATCAACAGCAACACAAATACAGATAATTTTACAAGCTTAAAAGAAAACATAAATATCACTAGCAGAAAAATTTATATTGAGAAGAAAAAACTAAAAGGCTCTTTTCATCCTGTTCAAAAACATGTATAACTGCTGCTTTGAAATACACAAATAAGGCACGTTTTACCACAGTCACTGCTGCTGAAAATACGCTAATATCCTTCACAAATAGCAGAGAGGAAGAGGGGTGAGCATATTTCAGTCCAAGTATTCTGAGCTGTTGAGTCCTCATGCAATAAAGCAACATGAAGATCAGTTTGCTACCTAAACATACTGAAATTGGACAAATGAGAGAAATAAAAGATCTAAGATGAGTGATCATCTTTCCTTAATTGCAGGAAAAATAGTCTAACCTAAATGGACATAAAGAAACATCTTTCAAAATAATATTGCTTTATTTTACTATGACTTCTATTCAAGAGTCATATTTACACCATCTTCAGAGGCCCTACAGATAAACCAAAATTCTGAGAGGCCCCAAGTCAAGAAGAAGGGAAGGTGCTTACAAAAAAGACTAAATGTAAGTTTTAAACTGTTCCAAGTTTCTTGGGATCTGGACTTAAATATCCCTAAAAAATTAAAAAACATTACAATATTTTAAAAATCACAGTGTGTTTACTATTTGATAATGCTTGCTTTAGTGTCTATTTTAACATGCAAGTATTTGCTTGAATTTTATCAAATTCAATATAAGTCACCAAAGATTTCTTTCTAAAGCCGTGAAGAAATTTATCTAAATTAAACAATGTTGGCATGCTGTACTGTAAATAACTACATATACAGTAGTCTTTCAACTAGATCACCCTGGAATTTGGAGCAATGAGTAAAGAAAAGTGTCTATAAAGTAATTCATAGCCTTTTTCATAACAGAAATCTGATAACATCATAGCTCCCATTACTTTTTACTACACAGGTATATTGACATATGCACTTATCCTTCACATATGAATTACAAAATTTCCCTGAAACAGTGACTTCCTGAAAGCAACACTGGTGCCAAGTTAAGAAATTCTTCCAAAATAACTAAATAAATTTCAATTTTTGTCTTGATCATTATCATAACAACAATTGCTGCATGAAGTTATGGGCCCATTCAATAGCAGATACTCATACTGTCTTCTGTATTGCCTGCATCTTAAAACTCATTCATTCCTATGTATGGTGGCAGTTGTAGCTCTTGAAGTAATAGCACTGATGAAATCTAGATTATGATCTAACATATTCTTCAGTGTAGGCTGCCTCTTCCTCTAAAACACATAATATGCTACAATCCACAACTGAACTTTAAATAATAAATGGAATCACAAAAATTAGAAGTACAAAACTCTCCACATTTAAAAAAAACCCTGTTATTTACTTGTACAAAGTAGGTGATATAAATTTTCACCTATTCTCACTCTGTACGTATGTTTACTTTTTACATACCTTTTTTCTTTCTGTTAATGGACATTTACATTGCCACATAAGTACTAATAATACATCTGCATTTTATGTAAACTACAATATAGAGAATCCTTACCAAAAATTCTCTGTACTTGTACTTCAGGGCATAAAGAAAAAGAAAGCTAAAGGATCGATCTACTTACTTCAATAAGAAAATCAGAAAAATAAGAAAATAATAATGAGGAAAAATGTCAGTATCAACAGATTAGGAGTCTCAGCCACCTTCCCCCCAAAATTAGAAGACTATAGTATTGAGAAGGACACGGTAAAGATGAACAGTTAGATAATCTTAACACAACTACCATTTCCATTGTAAAAAAACCTAAATATTCTATAGTATGTCTTGAGCCCTGTGAAATGGGATATTAACCAAATTTGGTATTATGCCTGCACGAGACAAGATACATTGTTTGTATTGCTCTACCTCTATTTCCTGTTCAAAACAAAGCCCCCCCCTTTCTTTCCTTAAATAACTGTGTATTAGTAAAAGATCACCTCACAACCAGCACAAACCCGCTCTGCGTTTTGGCCCGGGTCCAGGAGGCGACAGAGACTGCGCAGGAATTCAGGATGAAAAGTTCGGCAGTGAGGTAGAGGAGATACTTCCTCCCACGACCACCGCCCAGCTCTTCACGACCCCTGCCCAGGACCAAAGGAACTCACTGCGCAGCCACAAGGAGGAGGAGACCTAATTATAATAAGACGGGAGGGCAGGCGGGGATGGGTTATGAATATGTATAGGAGTCTCATGAATATGCAACACTTTGTAACATATAAGCAAGGCGGGAGCGGCGGGGACACACAGGCTTGTTGTGGCGGAGCGATCCCCCATGTGCCCGGCGCCGAATAAACATACCTGCTTTACAACCCTTAGTTGTGAAGTCTTTCATCCGTAAATCACCTGGACCATTTCTTATTTTTTTTTTTTTTCCCAGAAAGAAGAGCAACAACAATATGGCAAAGGTATTAAGGACTCTCAGACAGATATATTTATGCAGCCTTACAGTAGGGTTTGTGCGACAGCTGAAAGGGATAATGGGATGTGTGATATTCTGCTTATGAATATTACAGACAGTAAACAGCCATTTGGAGTCTGCCTGTTGAGAAGACGAATGGAAAAAGGCATTGTGTAGCAATAGGTCTTTCTGTTAATTATTTTCTGTCAGTCCTGTCAAAGAGCTTTTCTACATATATAGCATTATTTAGCAATTTCAACTGACAAAGATTTTTAAGAATTGCTATGTTTTGTGTTGAAAAACAGTTTAAAAGTAACAGATCTCTTGCCTGTGGAACACTTAACAGAGAAGTGTGTTAAATGGTTGTTCTTCTAAATAGGTTATATTTAGGAATACCTCTCATATAATATTTCTGATCTGTTTTTGAAACTTCAAGGAGATAATTCTTGACTTTTTATTAAAGATCAACTATGGCAGTCTTCCTCAAAATATTTCACTTACTAGTAATTTCTGAACATGGCATTTGCAAAGCATGTAAATTAAGTAATTTTGTTATTAGATAAATGCAAATAAATACGGAGCAATCAAATCATGAGTACACTTAACACTCATTCCGAAAAGGATTTTTAGCAGCTTCCAGATGGAACCTTTATCACTTTCCAAGGTAAGAGCTCCAAATGAATAGTAAGGCTCTAAAATCCTTCAGAAAAACTGATGAAGACTGTATTTCTGAAATATATAGGCATAGCAAATACTTCTGAACTTCTAACTTCAGAAAAACAAATAATCAGTACTGACAGTCAGAGTAACTATCAGGTCTCATGACATCTGAGTATGGCATATTGCTTCCCTCCTTACCACCACTGCACTTCCTTGACCTCTGACAATGCGAAGAGCATATACCCAACCTTTGGAAGGCAATGCAGTGCTGAGGGACAGGAGACAGGATAAGGAGTGCAGCATGTCCTTGGCCTCTCTATACTTCCTACAGCCCCTTCCCCCCAAGTCCATCTTCATCTTTTCTTGCCCCCATTGTCAGAAGAAGACTAAGGTAAAAAAACCTCAACCCTTGCTGTTTACTGGGGTGACAGATCTTCACTAAGCTACTTAAAGAAGAGAGTGCATGAGAGAAGTGACTTATTGCTATACCTTAGCCTGTGCTGTCTAGGCAGACTGCTGTAGTCACTGCCATCACAAATGTGAAATTCTGCTGCAGTCTGTGTTTTTAATTCCTCCAGCTAGGCAATTCTCTGTTTTGCTTATTCCACAAGCTAATCAGGCACAAACCTTCCTGCCTTGACATTCTGTAGTAGTTGCAAAAGCAACTCTTAAATTAATTTCTCCAAGCTGTTATTTTTCAGCTATCATAGTTTACAGGCAGATGAAAACATAGGAAGACATACTAACCACAGATTACCCCAGTCAGACCATGTTGGTCATCTTTGCACATCTTTGCATGGTCAGCTGACCTGAAAGCTTCCAGAATTCCTTTTGCTTTCAGTCGTAAATGGAGCTGACTACCTCATGTTAAAGCAATCTTCAGTGCTGTCGACACAGTGGCACCTGAGTGGACACTGTGTTAGCTGAGAAAATACAAAATGGGATTACCTTAGCATGTATTAGTATTTCACTGACCAGCAACACTCATGCTGTAAGGGGATTGTTAGCACTGTTGAGACAGGACTGTGAAGCTGCAATTAGCCCATAGGCCACTTATTAAGTGGTTAATGGACTAGTGTACAATACAGGTTACTAATGTTCATTACAGTAAATCCTTAAAAAAAAAAAAAATTGGCCACTGCACACAGACATATCCTTGAAAATTACTTTTTCAACACCCTGGCATGAAAGTTACGTTTTGCAACAAGATCATTCATATAGAAATAAAAAGTTATTAAACTGCATCCAGCTGAAGTTTCTGGCAAGAAAATCCCTTTCAGAAACAAAAGCACTGTTATTTGCTCACATAATGCTGATTTTATAAGTGTCTATACTTGCCTTGTTACCACTTTCTTTTTACTTTTATTACAAGGTTAGCATTTGAAGACACCTACCTATTTACCTCCTCATTTTTAAGATAACCACTTAATAACACAGACACACCCCAGACAGTTAGAAACTAAGAAAATGGTTAATCTGTCTGAAATGTTCATGGTTTACAACTTAGAAACACCATAAAATGACACATACAAAAAATATTTTCCATGCATGTAGTACTGACTGTATCAAATAAATGCAAAGTTAATGACATTAAAATATCTGATTATGTCACCTTACTTGTTCTCCATTAATATTATGATATTTATCAATCAAAGTGGTTGAATATGGCAGATCTCATCGACATTGCATAAAAGTTATTTGAATGATTTTTTTTTTTTTCAGAAACACTTTTCAGAAAACTGCCAAAGACATGGGGCTCCAGCTAGAGTCAGAGGGCATTACAGCATCTCAGAAACGGTGAGAATCAAGTTCCAGGGAGCACCACCATGGGCAAATACCACTAACTGGCCTCAATGGCCTTGACCAACAGTCACATAGGATCTCCATCTCTCCAAAGGCCCCAAGAGCTTTATTAAGCTTAGGCCTGAGCAGCCACTCCTACCTGAACTATGTTGTCCTGTCCTGTCAATGGACCTTGCTGTATTCTTGTCTCTACGCCTACCTCTGGCCTCATCTCCTGTCTGGAATCATTGGATGGACCCTGGACCTGATTCATCCCTGTGCCTTGTCTGGTACTGCTGACAGCCCCGATGTTGAAGCACCCCAGACCCTGGTGTGTTCAGGTGCAGCAGGACTGCCCTTGGGTCGGGGGGGTACCACTGCCTGGGTTGTGGGCATCCTCAGTACCTGTTTTGTCCCCCAGATTGTTGATTAGACCTGCTGTTGCTGCTTAGTGACACCAACTATGTGAACTGGAGTCACAGTAATATGAGGTGGGAGTTTTCAGTCATGGAGTAAGTTGCCTTGGGAAGGGGGAAAGGAGAATATGAGGAAAAAAGGGGAACACAAAGAGCATGTCAAACATCACATCAAGCAAGCCTGAAATTCATGTATGCCAGAAACTATTAGCTGTAAAAAAACAGACCAATTCGATGCAGGAGACTTAGTATAAGACCAATTTGCTTTACAATTGCATTTACTAGGATCTAGGTAGAAGATGCTTGAGGAATGAGTCTCTTGCACCACAAAATGACTGTAGTTTCAGGATTCAGAAGAAATGGCCCAAACATGTGCAGAGAAGCACAAGTACGTGTAACTCTTAAGTTATTATTTCTCCCTCTACCATTGTAAATTGGTTCTTGAGCTTTCAAGAGAGTTCCTTCCCCCCTGCATTTCCATACAAGAGCAAAGAAGCATGTGAGGAGAAAACTAAGAAAATAAGCAAATATTTTTGCTACTAAAGAAATCAGTATTTTAGCATATAACTCAGTTATACCAGATGACAAATTATTTCTGAAAGTGGTGTTTCACAGAGAAGACACAATTTTTTAAAACAGGGGAACAGATTCAGAAATGGAAGTACAAGTACAGGAAGTACTGCTAAAAGGAGGCCACAGAAACAAACTGTTTTATCAGTTAACATTGATAATACTATTGTCAGAATCATCAGGTAAAATTTCTAATGCAATCAAAGTACAAAATAATGAAAGCACAAATAAGCGACAGATGTTCTCTGGCACACTGTTCAACTCTGTGATGGAAACATGAAAGCTCAGAAAACAGAGGCAAGTTGAAAACTATCTGAGGGATGCCTGAAGGCACAGAAGGCAAACACTCTGCTATAATCCTTTGAAGGATGATTCCAGCAGCCCTTTCACCTAGAAATGAAACAGGATAATAAAAAGACTGAATACTTCCAACTGGTAGCTATTAAAAACACCCCGATTAGAATTTTTTTTTTTTTTTTTTTTTAATTTTCTTTTAAATTAACTCTGGTCTCCCTAGCACATAAACACAAATCAGGAGCAAACAGCATGGAATTGCTAGGCATCTAGCTCAGAGATGATTTCTTAGAGCCATTTTGTCGGATTTACTCATTCTTGCAGTTTTGCTCAAGACCTTCATGCCTCAGATGTGCTCTACACTGTTTTGACACAGGCCAACACGCCAGAAAAATTCCCTGATGATCACTGGAAGACTTTCTGCCAGACTCCTATGTCATCTTATTCCAAGACAAGATAACATAGAAGTATCTTTTTGTCATTTGACATTTCTTAAAAAACAAATCAGGATACTATGATCTGCATTAGTAGTCTAGAACAACAATTATAAGAAATACCAAAATTAAGGTGTGGAATGCCTGTATGTTAGGTACTTTCAAATCACCCATAACTTAAACTAGCTGTCAATAAAATCCCTATTTAAAAGATGTGAAAATGATGGCACTTCATACTGAGAAGTTGTTTCCTTCCTTCTCCATTCAGTTCATGTTGTCTGGATTTTCCCCATGCTTTAAAGACTTATTCTTCTTGCCTATGTTACATCTGAGACTGCACTAGAAGATATCCTTTCTGAAGAATCTATATTCAGATTCAGATCTTCATCTGACTCTTGTTTAAGAGATGCTTTTGATCTTTCTTTACAAGCAATTAGCCATCATCAAGAGTCAAGTAAGGTAAGCGTCC